AAGCTAGCCAATCCCTAAAAAACAAATGCCAAATGTCTTCTTTGATATAAGGAGAGTAACTAAGAACAGAGTAGGGACGAAGAGCATAAGAAGATTAACATTAAACAGAGATGAGAGGTGGGAGGGAAAGGGAGAGAAAAGGGAAATTGCATGGAAATGGAAGGAGACCCTCAGGGTTATACAAAAGAACATACAAGAGGAAATGAGGGGAAAGGGAAAAATAATACAAGGGGGAGAAATGAAGGTCAGTAGAGGGGGTAGAGAGAGAAGAGGGGAGGGGAGGGGAGGGGAGGGGGGATAGTAGAGGATAGGAAAGGTAGCAGAACACGACAGTCACTAGTATGGCAATATGTAAATCAATGGATGTGTAATTGATGTGATTCTGCAATCTGTATATGGGCTAAAAATGGGAGTTCATAACCCACTTGAAGCAAAGTGTGAAAGATGATATATAAAGAACTATGTAATGTTTTGAACAACCAACAATAAAAAAAAATAAAAATTTTAATTAGGCTATTGTAATGCATTCAAATATAATCGAAGATGGCAAATAATTACTAAAATGATATTTAACATAATGTGATTAGGGAATTAAAAATTAAAACAATGAAATATTACAATAAACATAGATGGTAATATTAATCTGATTAATATTAATATATTTCAATGACCAAAATGCAAAACATTGACAATACAAAATGCTAACCAGGAGGCAGAATAACAGGAATTCTTTCACTGTTGGTGGGAATGGAAAATGGTACAGTCACTTTGAAAGACTGACAGTTTTTTATAAAATCAAACATATTCTTGTGATATGATCTAGCAGTCATGCTCCTTGCTTTTTACCCAAATGAGTTAAAAACTTTTGCCCACACAAAAAGTTCCACAGAAATATTTATAACTGTTCTATCCACAACTGCCGAAACATAGAAGCAACCAAGAGCCCCTTCAGCAGGTAAACATTGAAATAAACTAGTACATCTAGACAATGGACTATTATTCAGTGCTAAAGAGAAATGAGCCACCAAACCATGAAAAGACATGGAGGAATCTGAAATGCATATTACTAAGTGAATGAAGCCAATCTGTAAAGGCTATATACTTTATAACCCCAAATATATAATATTCTGAAAAAAGGCAAAACTAAAGACAGCAAAAAGATCAATGGTTGCCAAGGGTTATTGGAGAGGAAGGGATGAATCAGTGGACTACAGAGGATTTTTTAATTTTTTTTTAATACTTGTAGATGGACAGCATGCCTTTATTTGTTTAGTTTTTTATGTGGTGCTAAGGATCAAACCCAGTGCCTCACACATGCTAGGCAAGCACTCTGCCACTGAGCTACAGCCCCTGCCCACTAAAGAGGATTTTTAGGGCACTAAAATTATTCTACATGTTACTATAATGATGGATGTATGTCAAACATTATGCAAACCCATAGAATATACAATATCAAGTGTGAACCCTAATGTAAACTATAGACTTTAAGCAATAATAACATGTCAATGTAAGTTCATCAAAAGTAACAAATATACCACCCTGGGGCTACATGTCTATAGTGGGGGAGGCTATATATGTATAGGGGCAAAAGGTATATGGAAACTCTCTGTATTCTATTCTCAATGTTCCTGTGAACCTAAAATTGCTCTGAAAAAAAAAAAGTCTATTGAAAAATACCTTGCATGGGCTAAGAGTTAGTTCAGTGGTAGAGAACTCGCAAAGCATGGGTGAGGCACTGGATTAAATTCCCAGAACCACTATATACATGTTTACATATATGCATGGGAATAAATATATATATGTGTGTGTGTGTGTGTTAGCTTTCAATCACTATAACAGAATACCCAAGATAATTAATTTACAAAGAGAAAAGGCTTATTTTGTTTCCTAGTTCTGGATGATGATCTATTGACCCTGTCGCTTTGGACCTCTGTTGGGAGTGCTGGATGGCAATGATGAGAATCACATGATAGAGCAAACTGCTCACCTCATGGCCAGAAAGCAAAAGGAAAAGAAAATGCAGGGAGCATGGGGGTAGGAAAGATGGTGAAATGAAATGAACATCATTACCCTAGGTACATGTATGATTGCACAAACGGTGTGACCCTCCTTTGGTTACAATCAGACAAGTCAAAAATTGTGCTCCATTTGTGTACAATGAATCAAAGAGAATTCTGCTGTCATGTGTAACTGACTAGAACAAATAAATTTTTTTAAAAAGAAAGAAAAGGCCAGAGTCCCACAGTCCCCTTAAGGGAATGCCCCAATGGTCTAAAGACCTCCCACTAGGTCCCCATAGGCCCCACCTCACAAAGCTATCACCACATCCCAATAGTATCACCCTGGGACCAAGTCTAACACCCTTAGAAGATATTTACCAAACCACAGCATGTTAAAATTTTATATATATGTATATATACATATACACATACATATATAGGCACATATAAATATGTATTTATAACTTGTAAGCATATATAAATGTTTATATTTATATAGAGACAGGAGAAAAACTCTAACATAATTTTGTAGGCTAACTTCCATAACAAAGTAACAGGTGTATTGGACTATTTTTACTTCAAGGAGATAAAATTAGGTATTGGAGGAGGTGAGTACAGGGAGGTTGAACCCAGGGGCACTTTTCCGCTGACCTATATCTCCAGCCTTTTTTATTTTGAGACAGGGTCTCACTAAGTTCCTTAGGGCCTCACTAAGTTGCTGAGGCTGGCCTCAAACTTGAAACCCTCCTGCTTCAGCCTCCCAAGTCCCTGGGATTACAGGCATGCACCACCATGCCCAGCAAAATTAGGTATTTTTGTAGAATATTTACTGTTGGTAAAATGGTGACATTTTCTCCCTTCCTGGTACATTATGGTCATCTTAACTATATAATTAAGAGGAAAACTTGGTGGTTACCATAGAAACTACCAGGGCTGATTAGTGCCTCCATGATTTGAGCAGTTATACCTGTTGGGCCACTTAAATCTAAACTTACAGGTTCCTGTTTAACAGGGAAGGGGAAACTGTCCACATTTGTTTTAAAGAGTGGCTAATACATTGATGTAGTGATGCAAATTGAGGTGGATCAAGCATACACACATACACACACCCCACAACCACCACTGCCAAAATGATGTGTAAAAATTAGGTGGCTGACAGTTGCTTTGTTTCACTCTGTAAGGATTACCTTTCCCTATTCAGGATGCCTTTAATGTTCACTTTCACCTGTACCAAGAACACTGGGTTAATGTAATTTTGTTAGTCTCAATGGGAAGGATGATGTTTGGTTTGGTTTGGTTTTGCTGGGCTGAATCAGGGAGCATAAAGGTCTGAGGTTTACGCCAAGCAATATTCTAGTAACATTCCCTTTTACCAGTATCTAAAACAGTCTTTTGCAAGCTATTTTCATCTGCAGAATATAATCTCATTCATGCAAAGGTACTGAGCCTTAGGGATTTTTTAATCATATATACCTCAAGGAAGCATGGATTGCAACACAAGGAAAGCCCCTTCCAATTCCTGAGGAAGCTTTAACTAACATATTCATAATTAATATTCAGATCTTCTCCTATCACACTTAGTACATTACTGACAACAAAATAAGCCTTAACAGGTGTGCAGTTCTCTCTTGCTGTATAGCATGTCATTTTAATAAATGTATTATCCTTGGAAATATTCTGAGGGCCTCATGAAATAGCCATGGTTTGTGTTTTAAGACACTTTCTCTTTACCTGGACTAACTCAACTGCTCAACAGAAGTGGCAGAACCATCTACGTATCAAGGACTTCTTTAGGGACAAATCCATGCTAATTTCTATGAATGTTAATTATATTTTCAGGAATCCAAAATTTGAAAAGATGAAAAGATTAGAGTAGCTAAAGTTATGCTCATAAACATATGGGCATATACATGCTCCATCAGTATAAAACACAGTCTTAAGTGACCAAAAACAAAAAGCCTACAACACATTGATACCAGAAGTGAACCATAAAACCATAATATTCCTTTAGAACTACATTTTACAGGATCACTCGCCACTGTAAAAACCCAATTAGTGTTAGTAACTTTCATATGATTGCTTTTTAAGAAAAGCTCCATTTCATATTTGGGGTTTGAGATTAACCATCTTATCACCATTTAGTGCTGGTGATATTAAATGAAAGGCAAGGGCTTATCAGGTAGTCTTTCCCCAAGCTTAGAGGAAAGCACAAAACAAAAACAGCACCTGCTGGGGATGAGGGAATCATTTTACAGGTATGGAGCAGCCAAAAAGAGGCAGCTCTGACATCTCTTCCTTTCAAATTCTATTTCAAATTCACATGATGATAAGATGGGAAACTACAGCTGTGTACCATGGTGACTTGTGCGATCCACTTCTAGCCCCGAATGAGGAACTTGGCTTTGACTTGACCAATATCCTCTTGCAACCCTAAGTCCTTGCTCCGCAACTCGCCATTAAGCTTTTCCAATTTAATACTAATACTCAGAAATACACTGGCGGACAAATATACATGTAGTAGATATACATATAAATCACAATAGAAAGAGGACAACATGCAACCCTGGGCCCGGAGCCATACAGAAAACACACCCTTCAAGTTCAAATCCCAGCAAGGCACCCTGAGCGGCCACCCGGGAGAGGGAGGGGCAGGAGCGGGGAACAGAGGTTAAACCAGACACCAGCCAAAACAAACATCACTTCCAGGACAGGACAAACTTTGGGCTAGGGCGGCGGTAGAACCCCAGGAATGACCGGGGGAGGGGAGGGAGTGTCAGACGGTCTCAAAAGAAGAAGACAGGGAGTGGACCCAGCATTGGCCGAGCTAAGCTATGGAGGAGGCTGGTGTCCCTAGAGCACAAGGGCGTCGCCGCCATCCCCAGCTACAGAGTCTCTGACACCTGGCCGAGGACTCATATCTCTGGGGACAACCGTGTCACACAAAACGTCCCACAGACACTATCCCACAGATTCGCAAAGAAAGGGGGCGCAGGGACCTACCTGGTGCAGCGTTTCGGCAGGGAGCTGCGATGCCCGAAACAGGTCAGCCACTGGGCCAGCGGCCGCAGTGGCAGCGCCAAGGGCGACCCTGGCGGACTCAGGGGGCCCGGGACCCGCGCCCCCGCTCGCGGCGCCCGCGCAGCGCGCGAAGAGCTCGGAGTAGCACTGCTGCTCGCCCTCGCTCAGCAGCAGCGGCGGCCCAGAGCCGCAGCCTCCGCCAGCCGCCGTCTCCATAGGGCCTTCAAGAGGACCGGCGGAGCACTGTCACCGGCTGAGGTGCCACCGCCACTGCCACTGCCGCCGCCTCGGCCTCGGCCGCCGCCGCCCCCACGCCCCGCAGCTGCCGCGCGGCCGCTTCCTCCTGGCGCGCGCCGGCCCCGCCCCCGGGCTTCAATGTTGTGCCTCCGCCGCGCGGCACATGGAGACAGGCGCGGCACCAACCAATCACATCCTGGGATCACACCCAGGCCCCGCCCAGCGCCAGGTAACTAACTCGCGCACCGCCCTCCCGCTGCGGGTCACCTGCTCTGCCGGCTAAGCGAGGCTGGGAGGTCGGGTTCCTCCGCTGCTCCTAGCCCACCTTTCCCCAGAGGGACATCTTTGGCTCTCTGCACTGGGTGGGAAGGGAGCACCTAGCACTGGAGAACAGGACTTTTCGTGTAGCGGGAAAAGCTGTGATGTTTTCTCCACAAAAGGCTGGAACAGGTGTAGAGCTCATGCCACGCAGTGCCCTTCCCAGAAAAGGGAGGAGGCATGATAAGTTAAGATTTCCCTTCTTCCATAGGAGTTCTGCCTGAAAAGTTGGAGCACAAATATGTGCATACGATTTGGGTCCCAGAAACTACCCAGAACATTCAAAATGGTTATGGGGTTAAGGCACTTTCGAAGACATGATTCAATCCTGAAATTGAGCCTCAATAAGGAATACCATCACTCTTAAATAGTACAGTGATAGAAGAAAAAAGGCACTTTCTGCAAATCCCTTTAGACCAATTCCTGGTTTTGCAGAAGAGGAAACTGTGTTGTACTCACCTTCATTCATCCAACACTCCTTGAGTATCTACTATATAGCAGATTTTTGTACTAACGCCTGAAATTACAGACTTCAGTCCCCCCCATCCAAAAACATTTCTTTTGATAAGAAAATAGACCTGTTTTTTTAAAAAAGGCAGAAGCATGGTGCTATTTATCAATAGTCCCAACTACTGGAGAGGCTGAGGCTGTAGGATCATCTGAGCCCAGGAGTTAAAGCAAGCCACCCCTCTTGAAAAAAAAAAAAAAAAAAGGAGGAGGAGGAGTTGGAGTTTGTTTAGTACAGGGATTGAACCCAGGGGGGGGGCTTGCCCACTAAGCCATACCTCCAGCCCTTTTTATCTTTTATTTTAAGACTGGGTCTCACTAAATTGCTTAGGGCTTCACTAAATTGCTGAAACTGGCTTTGAACTTAATCCTCCCGCCTCAGCCTCATAATCTCAGTCTCTGGGATTATAGGCATGTACCACCACACCCCACCCTAAAAAAAAATTGGGATGGGAGAGGGTGGGGGGATACCAGGGATTGAACTCAGAGGGACTCTACCACTGAGCCATATCTCAGCCCAATTTTGTGTTTTATTTAGAGACGGGGGTCTCAGTGAGTTGCTTAGTGTCTCACCATTGCTGAGGCTGGCTTTGAACTCGAGATCCTCCTGCCTCAGCCTCCCAAGCTGCCATTACAGGTGTGCACCACCATGCCCAGCTTAAAAAAAAAAAAAAAAAAAAACTTTTTTAAAATACAAAACTTACCCAAGTTCACACCAAAAGTCAACACTAGAACCCACATCATTACACAGGTCATATGCCTCCTCTATCTCCATATATCGTTTTTCTAAAGAATGCACACAATATTTTTCAAAATGACTTTCTCCCACAAGACTATACTCTAGCCACTGGGGTCATATAGTTTCATGTGTGAAAACTAGAGAGGAAAAAGGAAAAGAAAGGTGGAGGAATCTCATGAGAAAAGAGATGGGGGGGCAGGGAATACTGGGGAATGATATTGACCGAATTATATTGTTACTCTATGTACATGTGCGAATATGTAAAAGATCCCACAGTTATCATTACTATAATGCACCAATTAAATAAAACGGAAAATTTTTTAAAAGACAAATTCCAGAAAAGAAGCCATTGGAAAAAAAAAAATCTGCCTTCTACAAAACTGGAAATTCCAGCATCAGTCCTGCCTATTTGCATCTCTTTTCCAAAAATTATCTTTTTAAATGCCATTTTACTAGGAAGAGTTGCACAAATCATCAAACCTTGGTAGTAAGTCCTAATACAAAGGGCAAAAAAAATCGGTCCAGGGTTAATTACTAATATAAAATGCATGTTAGAATATTTAATAAAGAGATATATAAAACTTCCAACCAAAATAGTTTTATTTTAATAAAAGCAGAAAACAAAACATCTCAAGAAGTAAAATTGATGGTTTCAAATATATTTTGGTGTTATGGTCAATTAAAATAAAAACCTAGGGCCAGGTGTAGTGGTGTATGCCTATAATCCCAGAGACTACAGAAGCTGAGGCAAGAGGATCCTGAGTTCAAAGTCAGCCTCAGCAATTTAGTGAGGCCCTAAGCAACTTAGTGAGAACCTGCCTCAAAATAAAAAAAAAATTAAAAAGGACTTGGGATGTGACTCAATGGGTAAGCACCCCTGGGTTCAATCCCCTAGGGGTGGGGGGTAGCAACAAAGACTAACTTAGTTGGAGAATTTGAACTTCAAAATCTCATCATCTTTGTATTTTCCATAGCTGTTAATACTTTCTTAGGAAAACTGGAAGACTATAGATTGTTTATTCTCTTCCTACTTTCCCAGTCATACTCTGGTTTCCCTAAGAATGGCTCACCATTCTAACAAATGTTAAAAAGCAACCCACTTTATGTGACAGATATCAAACCTTGTTTTCCCCTGTGATCTCTACAAGAATAGACATATATCACTAACAGTCATATAGTGAGAGCAGGTGGAAGCTACAAAGCTTTTCAAAGCACTTAGGTATGAATTATCTCATTTAAACCTCACAGTAACACTCTAAGGCAGACCTCCATTTTGCAGATAAAAAAAATTGATTCAAAGATAGTATTCTTTGGACAACTGGATATTAGATTTGGAACCAATCTTCTTAATTACTCTCAGTTTAATAAGTTTGACAGATATTTATAAGTACCAGAAGCCAAAATAATGGGTAGAAAATCTCACATCTGTGCCTATCTATCCATTAGTGAGGCAATAAATGTTTATTGATAGAATAGGAGGTTTTTACTGTGTCCCTACTGGAGTACTGTGAAAAAAAAATTTTTAAATATTTATTTTTTAGTTGTAAGTGGACACAATATTTTATTTTAATGTGATGCTGAGGATCCAACCCAGTGCTTCACACATGCTAGGTGAGCACTCTATCACTGAGCCACAATCCCAGCCAAAAAAAAAAAAAAGTTTTTCAAATACAAGATGTGGTGCTTTCAAGGAGTCTTCAGCCTCACTAAAAAAGACAAAACTAACAACAAATAAAAATAAATAAGACACTATATAATTAACTGCTAAATTCTGTATCCTGGGCTAACTGGAGTGGAATTTTAGAAAAGAGAAAATCCATAAGCCAGAGCTCACCAAGGAAAGCCTGATGAGGGGGGATCAGCATGGGTGTTGTATCTGAAATTGGGTGGGATTGGGGAGATTGAAAGACAGGACAGACAGGGAGGATCATGGGAGAAGGAGGAGCCCCAGAGACTTGACAAAGGAAATGATAAGTGAGGGAGGGCCAACAAACTGATTCAGGCAGGAGGGCAGTCTTTGAAGGTTTCTAGGATGCAACAGAAAAACTACTCAACAAAGAAGAGGGGCACAGTCAGAAGGAGTCCCATAGCAGTAATACTTAAACCCAGACCACAGCAGGAAAAAAATGGCATTTATAAAAATGTTCTGGGCTGGGGGTTGTAGCTCAGTGGTATGAGCTAGCATATGTGAAGCACTGGGTTTGATTCTCAGCACCACATATAAATAAATAAATTAAATAAAGGTCTATCAACAACTAAAAAAGTATTTTTTAAAATTTTTTAATATTTATTTTTCGGTTTTCAGTGGACACAACATCTTCATTTTATTTTTTTTTAATATTTTTTTTCTTAGTTCTCGGTGGATGCAACATCTTTTGTCTTTTGTTTGTATGTGGTGCTGAGGATCGAACCCAGGCCGCACCTATATACCAGGTGAGCGCTACTGCTTGAGCCACATCCCCAACCCCTTCGTTTTATTTTTATATGGTGCTGAGGATCGAACCCACTGCTCCGCGCATGCCAGGCGAGTGTGCTACCGCTTGAGCCACATCCCTAGCCCCTAAAAAACTATTTTAAAAAAATGTTCTGCTGGGCACGGTGGCGTATACCTATAATCCCAGTAGCATGGAAGGCTTAGGCAGGAGAATCACAAGTTCAAAGCCAGCCTCAGCAATTTATCAAGGCCCTGAGCAATTCAGTGAGACCCTGTCTCTAAATAAAATATAAAAAGGGCTGGGGATATGGCTCATATTAAGCACCCCTAGGGTCAATCCCCAGTACTAAAAAAAAATGTTCTAATATCTAAGGAATGCCAAGTACTGTTCTTCATTTCTGCAACAGTTTTCTAAAGAGAAGAAAAACTTATCAGACTTGAAAATAAACACAGATAAGAATGTAGAAAGTAGAAACACTCATAGCCCTTCAGGCTGACAGTAAACAAGAACCCTTTAGAAGAGAATTTCTGTATACTTTTTGTAGTTGTACATTTGTATACTTGTTTGGGCTCCATCATGACCAGACAAGCAGATATTTTAAGGAACAGTCAAGAGAAGCGTTTCTTTTCTTCCATACTGGGGATTGATCCCAGGGGCACTTGACCCTTGAGCCACATCCGCAGCCCTTTTTATTTTTTATTTTAAGACAGGATCTTGTAAGTTGCTTAGGGCCTCACTAAGTTGCTAACGGGACCTTGAACTTGTGATCCTCCTGCCTCAGCCTCCTGAGCCACTGGGATATAGGTGTGCTCCAGGCTGGGCTTCAGAATTTTTATGTGTAATATTAAAATACTAAAGATTATATCTCAAATAGTGATGAAAATTAAGGTACTGATTCCTGCAAACACTAAGTAGTCACCTGTTTGAATGATTTCAATTTTTTTTTTATTTTGCTAGTAGTGAAGAAAGGTAGCTATTGT